GCATTTAAATTAAAGGTACAGTGTTCTGCACTAATTTAAAGGCTCTCTGAAGCCTAGAAACCCTTTTTATAAGTCATCTTCGTAGCGAAGAAATTCGCATCGAATCGAATTTCACACTGGAATTCGCCGAATCAGCCGAATCAAATTTTTGAGAAATTCGCTCATCTCTAGTCAGGACAGTACAGATATCCCCCAAATGTCAGAACAGTACAGATATCCCCCAAATGTCAGGACAGTACAGTTATCCCCCAAATGTCAGAACAGGACAGATATCCTCCCAAATGTCAGGACAGTACAGATATCCCCCAAATGTCAGGACAGTACAGATATCCCCCAAATGTCAGGACAGTACAGTTATCCCCCAAATGTCAGAACAGGACAGATATCCCCCAAATGTCAGGACAGTACAGATATCCCCCCAAATGTCAGGACAGTACAGATATCCCCCAAATGTCAGAACAGTACAGTTATCCCCCAAATGTCAGAACAGGACAGATATCCCCCAAATGTCAGGACAGTACAGATATCCCCCCAAATGTCAGGACAGTACAGATATCCCCCAAATGTCAGGACAGTTCAGATATCCCCCAAATGTCAGGACAGTTCAGATATCCCCCAAATGTCAGGACAGTTCAGATATCCCCCAAATGTCAGGACAGTACAGATATCCCCCAAATGTCAGGACAGTTCAGATATCCCCCAAATGTCAGGACAGTTCAGATATCCCCCAAATGTCAGGACAGTACAGATATCCCCCAAATGTCAGGACAGTACAGATATCCCCCAAATGTCAGGACAGTTCAGATATCCCCAAATGTCAGGACAGTTCAGATATCCCCCAAATGTCAGGACAGTACAGATATCCCCCCAAATGTCAGGACAGTACAGATATCCCCCAAATGTCAGAACAGTACAGATATCCCCCCAAATGTCAGGACAGTACAGTTATCCCCCAAATGACCCCTTTTTGCAAAGTAGACAGTCCAACGTATTTCATAAGAGGCATGGCGAGTTTTTTGACGTTTTTTTTTGTCATAATTTTTCGGAAAATGAAAAAAATGAAAAAAATTATATTCACTATTTTTTTTTTACATACTGTCACCAGTGCAGTACAGCGTCATCATATGACTGGCATGGCGGTGATCAGGGACACTGACTGGTGACAGTATGGGAAAAAAAATTATAATTTTTTAATTTTTTTTTGTTTTTTTATTAGTTTTAATTTTTCATTACATGTTTTTTCTTTTTTTAAGATTTTTTCTTCATATTTCACCATTGACAAAGTAGTACAATGTTACCATAGTAACATTATACTACTTTGGGGAAGTCATCAGTATTTTTTTTTTCTTTTTTTTACACAATTTGCTTATAGCAAAGAATTACTTTGCTATAAGCAAGCATTTACCTGAATGACATCGATTCATTCAGGTTTTTTTTTTTGTGCTTAGCTGTGATTTGGCCACAGCTAATCACATGACACAGATGGGCTGTGATTGGCCCAGCTTGTGCATGTGATCGCTGTGACCATTCACAGCTAGACACACTAGTATACAATGGATGGCATGAAAGGAAACCATCCATTGTATACAACTGTCATGTGACCTGCTGTGATTGGTCACAGCAGGTCACATGGTACCGGCAACGGGGGCCGATACTCAGATCTGTCATCAGCTGTGTCCGAGGTACATGGCCGGTGACAGATCGCGCCGCTGTGCGGCTCTACGGGCATGCAAACTGCACATGCCTGAAAGGACGCCATATGGTGTCCACCCAGAGGGATGAGGGGTTTTGCAGGCCGCCAACTGGCTATAGGCCGGGCGGGAACCTGTTAAAGGAATCAGAAATAACAAAAATTATATTTCGTTCAAGAAAATGTAAACATACTGCCAACTATTGCTAATTTCCTTCAAAGACTGTATGACTGTCTTCCAAAATTCAAATTTCGAAAAGAAGGGAATAGAATAAAACTGAATAGAGTAGAATAAAAAATAAAAGAATAGAATAGATAATAAAGGCATAGAATAGAAAAAATAGAATAACAAATAAAGGAATAGAACAGAAAAGAATAAGAGTAGAATAGATTGGAAAAATATAGCAGTCTTTTGAAAATTCAAAATTTTTCATTTCGAGTTCCAAATATAATAGAAAGAATACAGCCGTCTTCCAATCTTTACATTTTTAAAAGAACAGAAAAAAGCAGAAAAGAATAGCGTAAAACAGAATAGAATAAAATAGAATAGAAAATAAAAGAATAGAATAGAAAAAATAGAATAGATTATAATAGAATAGAAAGAAAATAGCCATCTTCTGAAATTCCAATTTTGAACAGAACCAGCTATTCTTCAGAATGAATTTTGGATCCACGGTATATTTTTTATTTGAATACTTCTAATCCATTGGGAAAAAAATAGAATAGCAAAAATAGAATAGATTAGAATAGAATAGAATAGAAAGAATATAGCCGTCTTCCAGAACTCCAATTTTGAACAGAACCAGCTATTCTTCACAAAGCATTTGGATCCACTGGATATTTTTTATTTGAATACTTCGAATCCATTGGAAAAGAATAGAATAGAAAAAATAGAATAGATTACAATAGAATAGATTAGAATAGAATAGAAAGAAAATAGCCATCTTCCGAAATTCCAGTTTTGAACAGAACCAGCTATTCTTCACAACGCATTTGGATCCACTGGATATTTTTTATTTGAATACTTCAAATCCATTGGAAAAATTCTAATCGGGTCGAAAGCGAATAAACGAAGCAAAACTAAATCAATTTTGTTAAAAATGCAGTGAAACAAAATTAGTAACTTAACAAATCGATCCAAAACAAAACACATTTTTTTCGTTCTGCACATGCCCACTGCTGGCTGCTGTGAGACACCCGCTGGTAGGCCCTGGAACTGCAACCTCCTGCTCTGAGAAGCACAGTGCCACCAGCAGGTAAATCAGATCCTGACAGAATAATAAAAACAATGTTAATAATAACTGTAAGGGCCAGAACCCCCCCACCCCCACAAATGATTAAAATTGTATTCAGTGAAGTGTCCACTGACATCTGTAGTCAGAGAAGTGATCCCTTACATTGGGAAAATGTTACATTAGTGGTCATTGGTAGTAGGGTCCTTCTGCACTGGAGGTCATTGGGAAGAATGCTCCTTATAGATGGCTAAAGCAAAAACTCTCAATAAAATTGTATCATGCATGGCCTGCCTAACAGTCAATTTATTTCTCCTAAGGCTGGCCATACATTATACAATTTTGAGAATTTTGCTTTAGATTTACCAAAAACCGTATAATAGGAGGTCAAACCTAACAACACTTTCAATTGTATCCAATTAGGCCGCCTCTTGCACTACATAGTTGAAGGTAAATCTAAAGGAAATTGGGCAGAAATTGGACAAAAAATTGTATAGTGTATGGCCAGCCTCAGGCATCCTGGCCACACCCAGATGCTGAGAATCCCGCTGTAGACAGGATGTGGTCTGCGATAATTATTACATAGTTTCTTTTTTCCCTTTTTTGTTACAATTCTTGCTGCGTTGTGCTTGCTGCTTTCTTGACTGTTGAGTAGCGATATTTTCTTCTTTGCCGTTTGTTTTCAGCTCGTGTCCAGCCATGGCTCCCAGGTGTCTTCCTCATAGCTGTCATCAAACCGCCACGCTCGCCATTCGCCGCTTTCTTTCTTTTTATTTGCCAATTAAATTTTTTATGCTTTCAGAACATCTTACCGACCCCCTCCAGGACTTCCGCAGGACTTACCGAATCATGATTAATATAATCTCGTGATTCTACATCTGTCTGTCTTTGAAAGTGGATTAGGTTTCAGTTCTGTTGGCTTTTCCCAATATGTGTTTATATTGAACGCTTCCAGACGGGCATCGTCTCCATCGCGGATCCTCGGGGCACCTCGCCGGATTTATGGTGTCACTGATGAAATCTCACTTTTTTACCACTGAGCCGACTGAGGAGACCGAGATGAATTCTAGTTTCTTAGTTTGTTATTTGGCAAACGCATCTGTGCAAAGAGTCCTTTCGGCGTCCTGATTTGGCCTTATGCAGGGAGAAAACCGGACGTTTTTTAATAAAAAAAACGAAAAAAACTGGTCGTTGGATCGGTTGCTGCAGGGGTGGGTAGCCGTTCATAAATGGCACCCACCATTTTGGATTGTGCATGCTTCCTGGTAGCGTGCGGCACCACGATCCGGTGCCCGCTGTGTCCGATCGCTGTACGGGACCTCAGTGATCACATAAGGTCCCAATCATGTGATCACTGAATAGGTGTAAGCAAGATGTCACTTCTGACATCATTGCTTACTACGTGTGAAATCTGTGAATGATCACAGAGATCACATGGTACAGGGCCATTCACAACAGCTTTGTACCATGTGACAAGCTGTGACCAATCACAGCTCTCACAGTATTTCTCAATGGCTGCAAGAATGCAGCCAGAGAGAAGGAGAAATTATTGCTTTTACAGCCTTTATGGGTGTAAAAGCAATAAGTGTAAAAAAAAAAAAAAAAAAAATCTTCATCACCCCCCACAAGTAGTACAGTGTCACCATGGTGACCCCACACTGCTAGGGTGATGGTATGTAGAAAAAAACATAAATAGTAATATAAAAAAATAAAATTAAAATGTAAAAAGCTTTTTTTTAAACTAAAATTTTTGGTTATAAACTAATTTGGGTTATTTTTTTTTTTACTAAAAATATAACTGAATACATTTTGGCCAAGATTTATGAAGAAAGATTATTTATTTGCAAACTTTTATAAGAAAAACACTTTTTTTCAAAATCTTTGGACATTTTCATTTATATAGCAAAAAAAAAATAAAAATCCCAGCGGTGAATAAATACCAAACCAAAATAAAGCTTTATCTGTCTAAAAAAAAAGCAAAAAAATTCATATGGGTACAGTGTTGCATGACCGCGCAATTGTCATTCAAAGTGTGACAGTGCTGAAAGCTGAAAATTGGCCTGGACAGGAAGGGGGTGAAAGTGGCCGGACTGGAAGGGGGGGGAAAGTGTCCGGACTGGAAGGGGGGGGGGGGGGAGTGTCCGGACTGGAAGGGGGGGGGGGGGGGAAGTGTCCGGACTGAAAGTGGGGGGGGAAGTGTCCGGACTGGAAGTGGGGGAAAGTGTCCGGACTGGAAGGGGGGGAAAGTGTCCGCACTGGAAGGGGGGGGGAAAGTGTCCGGACTGGAAGGGGGGGGAAAGTGTCCGGACTGGAAGGGGGGGAAAGTGTCCGAACTGGAAGGGGGGGGGGGAAAGTGTCCGGACTGGAAGGGGGGGAAAGTGTCCCGAACTGGAAGGGGGGGAAAGTGTCCGAACTGGAAGGGGGGTGAAAGTGTCCGGACTGGAAGGGGGTGAAAGTGTCCGGACTGGAAGGGGGGGTGAAAGTGTCCGGACTGGAAGGGGGGGTGAAAGTGTCCGGACTGGAAGGGGGGGAAAGTGTCCGGACTGGAAGGGGGGGGGGGGGGAAAGTGTCCGGACTGGAAAGGGGGGGGGGGAAAGTGTCCGGACTGGAAGGGGGGGGGGGGGAGTGTCCGGACTGGAAGAGGGGGAAAGTGTCTGGACTTGAAGTGGCTCAGCTAAAAGTTTGGAAACATGAAGTTTTCCGTGACTTCTCCAGTATTTCCTAGAACAACGAATCGCTCTTTGAGCGACTTCAGCGACACTTCAGATCTCTGTGATTCACATACGTTGTATCTACACCGGCCGAATCTGCTTATCCTCCAAAACACTTTCAGTAATTAACTCGCTATCTTCTATTTCTGTTAATGCTCCATCTGTACCTGAGACGGAATCCATCACCAGCAATGTCGCCATAAACCATCCGGCGCTGCGCAAGGAATTGCTGATCGCTCCCCGCTGACCGCAGATGTATCTCTCTGCAAATCTGGACTTAATCATTACAGAATGCAAACCATTTCTTCAGTGTAACGGAACCGGACCCCCGACTCCCAAATCCCCCCATCCCACTTCTTGGCCGGCACATTGATATTTACAGTCCTGAAGGTGCCGAAAACTTCGACCTGTGCAAAATGCAATTCTCTTTAAAGTGGAACTAAGCCGTACCTGAGCTCCTCACACCGGAAGAGCTATTCAATTATTTATTATTCAAAGCCAACTCCCTCCTGACTCTCGAAGCATGAGCTGGACGTGCCCCTGGTCTGAATGGCCACAGACGATGCACCCCCTTTGACAGTGTCCCCACTACTTTGTATCCCATTTGGCAGTTATTCCGGGCCATCCTGTCTTCTCTGTCCTGATTGGCCAGGCTGCTGTGTTGCACTATTTAAACCTCAGAGGCAGGAGCTCTGGGCTCGATATAGTGTCTGCCATGAAGCTCGTAACCTCTTGCGCTCTGCACGCTGTGTTTCCTGTTGCTTGGACTCATCTTTGGTAAACCTTGCCTTGCACCTGGGCTACTGTTTTGGATGACCACCTGACTTGGTCTTGGATTGTTTATTGGACTATGGTTTCTCACTACCTACCCCGACCTTAGAACTGTCTACTGGATTACACTTGCCTGCTACCTACCCTGACCTCAGAACTGTCTACTGGATTACACTTGCCTGCTACCTACCCCGACCTTGTAACTGTCTACTGGATTACACTTGCCTGCTACCTACCCCGGCATTGTAACTGTCTACTGGATTATGCTTGCTGTCTACTTGCCCTGACCTAGCAAATGTCTACTGGACTACACTCTCCTGCAATCTGCTTTGACCTCAGAACCGTCTACTGGATTACACTTGCCCCTTACCTGCCCTGACCATGGAACTTGAAGCTCCTTATTGGATAATGTTTGGTATTACTTACCTGACTTGCCTGCTACCTACCCCAACCTTGTAACTGTCTACTGGATTACACTTGCCTACTACTACCTGCCCTGACCTTGGAGCTCCCTATTAGGAGCATAATTGCTTGCTTGCTATTTACCCCGACCTAGGATCTGACCTACTTATCCTGACCTCAAGAATTTCTACTGGATTATGCTTGCTCTCTGCTTGCCTTGACCTAGAATCTGTCTCCTGAATTATGCTTGCCCACTAACTGCGATGACCTTGGAACTGATTGCTGGAATAATCTTCATGCTACCTGCCCTGACCTCAGTCAGAATTATACTGGATTACGCTTGCCCACTACATACCCTGACCTTAGAACTGTCTACTGGATTACACTTGCCCACTACCTACCCTGACTTTAGAACTCTCTGTTGAATTATGCTTTCCCACTACCTGTGTTGACTTTGGAACTGTACTGGAATAATCTTCCTGCTACCTGCTCTGATCTCAATCAGGATTCTCTACCGGATTACGCTTGTCAGCTACCTGCCCTGATCTTGGAGCTCCTTATTGGATTAGGTTTGGTACTACTTACCCTGACATGAGAACTATCTAATGAATTACGCTTGCCTGCTACCTGCCCTGACCTCAGAACTGTCTACTGTGTCTACCTGCCCTGACCTTGGAGCTCTCTCTTGGATTATGCTTGCTTGCTACCTGCCCTGACCTTGGAGCTCCCTCTTGGATTATGCTTGCTTGCTACCTGCCCTGACCTTGGAGCTCCCTCCTGGATTATGCTTGCTTGCTACCTGCCCTGACCTTGGAGCTCCCTCTTGGATTATGCTTGCTTGCTACCTGCCCTGACCTTGGAGCTCTCTCTTGGATTATGCTTGCTGTCTACTTGCCTTGACCTAGGAAACGTCTACTGGACTACACTCTCCTGCTATCTGCCCTGACCTCAGAACTGTCTACTGTGTCTACCTGCCATGACCTTGAAACTGTGTTCCGTGTGTTTTTGACACTTTTTTATGCATTCCAGTTAATTTCCCCACCCTCTCTTTTTCTTCAATTTAAATAGAGACATCCAGTATGATTTTGGTGCGTTCCAGTGCGTTTTTGATGTGTTTTTACCACGTTCCAGTACAGTTCTGTGCAGGAAAAATGCAGCCAGTTCTACTTTTTTTTCTGCATCCGGGAACGCACAGGAACTGCAAGCGCCGGTGTGAACTATGACATTGACAACCATATATCCTACTTTCTGTGCATTTTGGATGCAGAATAAAAGCAACTGAAACGCATGGAGTGTGAACCGGCCCTTAATCCACTTTTGAACTTGTGCCTATAGGTGAGTCTATAATAAGTTACAGCGATTGTCTCCTAAACTTGCACAGATTAGAAGATATGTACATAACATGCAGCTGGCGTCGTCGTCCGGTGCATCACTCTGAAGGGATGGCATGCCGTGCCGGACCATCAGAGCTCCGTGCCGCATGTGCGCGGGAGTGACATCATCGCGGCCCTGGCCATTCATACGGCTGGAGCCTGAAGGAAAACCGGATGACGATGACAGCATCGTGGAGCCGTGACAGCGCGGTGCTGGAGGGCTCTGTGTACAGGTAAGTCTGTCACAATGTACTAGTATGCGGTGTACATTATGACCTAAACCTGCAGGGGGGGGGGGGGCTTTTTTTTTTTTCTCTTTTTTATGGCGGTTTACTACCACGTTAACTGTCGTGAATGGCTTCCATTCATGACAGCTTGCTTACTATTGTGATGCTGTGATTGGCTACAGCTAATCACAAGGTACAGGGTGCCAGGTACCATGTGATAGCTGTGGGCCCATCACAGCATCACAACAGTAAGCAAGCTGTTATGAATGGAAGCCATTCATGACAGTTTTGCTCACATTGTAATCATGTGACTGCTGTGATTGGTCATAGCCATCACATGACACCCCGGCAAATCACGGAATTGTGCTGCTGATTGCTGATTGCAGCAGTGCGTATCTCCTAGGTAGGCAATGTAAGGTGCCCAGCCGGGCGGTAAGTGGTTAAAGTAAGTACAGAGCCATCGGCAATGTGCATAAAGAGAAGGCTTAAGGGAAATATAACAAGTAACAAGATTTGTGCACCGCTCAAAAAAATGAAAGGAAGACTTTACTCTGAGTCTATCATCAGGTCAATGAAACTCCTGGGATATGGATCTGGTCAGGTAAGTAGCAGAGGGGGTTGTTAATCAGCTTCAGCTGCTTTGGTGTTAATGAAGTTAACAACAGGTGCACTAGATGGGCTACAATGAGATGACCCCCAAAACAGGAATGTTTTACAGGTGGAGGCCACTGACATTTTTTTCCCTACTCATCTTTTCGGACTGTCTCACTAGTTTTGCATTTGGCTAGGGTCAGTGTCACTACTGGTAGCATGAGGTGATACCTGGACCCTACAGAGGTTGCACCGGCAGTCCAACTCCTTCAGGATGGCAATTCAATACCTGCCATTGCCAGAAGGTTTGCTGTGTTTCCCAGCACAGCCTCAAGAGCATGGAGGAGATTCCAGGAGACAAGAGCATGGAGGAGATTCCAGGAGACAAGAGCATGGAGGAGATTCCAGGAGACAGGCAGTTACTCCAGGAGAGCTGGACAGGGCTGTAGAAGGTCCTTAACCCATCTGCAGGACCGGTATCTGCTCCTTTGTGCAAGGAGGAACAGGATGAGCACTTCCAGAGCCCTACAAAATGACCTCCAGCAGGCCACTGGTGTGAATGTCTCTGACCAAACAATCAGAAACAGACTTCATGAAGGTGGCCCGAGGGCCCGACATCCTATAGTGGGCCCTGTGCTCACTGCCCGGCACCATAGAGCTGGATTGGCATTTGCCATTGAGCACCAGAATTGGCAGGTCCACCAATGGCACCCTGTGCTTTTCACAGATGAGAGCAGATTCACCCTGAGCACATGTAACAGACGTGAAAGGGTCTGGAGAAGCCGTGGAGAACGTTCTGCTGCCTGTAACATGGTTCAGCATGACCATTTTGGTGGTGGGTCAGTGATGATCTGGGGAGGCATATCCATGGAGGGACGCACAGACCTCTACAGGCTAGACAATGGAACCCTGACTGCCATTAGGTATGGGGATGAAATCCTTGGACCCATTGTCAGACCCTATGCTGGTGCAGTGGGTCCTGGGTTCCTCCTGGTGAAGGAGGTCCTGGGTTCCTCCTGGTGCAGTGGGTCCTGGGTTCCTCCTGGTGCAGTGGGTCCTGGGTTCCTCCTGGTGCAGGGGGTCCTGGGTTCCTCCTGGTGCACGACAATGCCTGGCCTCATGTGGGGAGAGTATACAGGCAGTTCCTGGAGGATGAAGGAATTGATACCATTGATAGGCCCCCACGCTCGCCTGACCTAAATCCAATAGAACACCTCTAGGATGTCATGTTGCGGTCCATCCAACACCGCCAGGTTGAACCTCAGACTGCCCAGGAGCTCAGTGATGTCCTGATCCAGATCTGGGAGGAAATCCCCCAGGACACCATCCGTGGTCTCATTAGGAGCCTCCCCCAACGTTGTCAGGCATGCATACAAGCACGTGGGGGCCACACAAACTACTGAGGACCATTCTGAGTTGCTGGAATGACATTCCAGCAGAATGGACTCGCCTGCTGCATCATTTTTTCACTTTGATTTTCGGGGTGTCTTTGAATTCAGTGCTCTGTAGGTCGATCATTTCCATTTCCATCAAACGATGGGGCGTCCTTACGTCCCTCACACATCCCCCGTCCATGTCAGTATAGAGATCCAGCAGGAGATTCCTCCCCATTGAGATCTGATGGGTTCTCAGA